GCAATGATGACTGGACAGAGAAGTGGACGAAACATCGTTGCAAATACCACTCAAAAGAGGAAGAAATAGACATATATGGAAAACAATGTTATAAGTTGATATCTTTTTGCACTGAAATACCAGCTGTCAGAAATATCAGAAGATGAGGAACGATGCCCAGGTGACAAAATGGTATCTGTTAATCAGACAATCATACACAAATGTAAGGAATGTGAATGTGTACGGAGGCTGGAGACGTATTGTAAAGCAGTCTAGAAATAACTTCAAACAGTTGAGAGGAAGGGAGTTATAAAGGCAAATATATCTGATTCCATGAACCAATTTTTTCCAGGTACCTGGGTAAAGTGTATACGTCAGATTAATATTTAATAAAATTGAACGGCCGTATATTTTATTTGTGAGAGAATTGAACGTGGTTCTTTAGCCGATGAGGCAGACAATAATAGTACCTGAATGATACTATCGGTTGCAGTGGAATTTCAGGTTTATGAACTTTCGGTAGTCCATAAATCTTAGCGCTTGTTAGTTAATTTTGTTTTTAGGGTTTCACAAGGTCTCCTGATAGTTGGTTCAACCCACTAAGGTGCTTCAATACTTTGTCACTGGATGAACTTTGAGCTTTAATAGGTAATTTGTATGAATAAAATAAAATAGGCTCTACCGGAGTAAAATTGTTTTCGCAACATGTTCTGGCTGAATATTAGAAACATGCTACATCTTTGATAAGGAGAGTGCCTGAGTATAGCCTAGTTGTGTTTGGTTTTCCGGGCAAGGAAGGGCTCTTTTACGTTAACCTATAACCTGCTTTCAAGCATTGGCTTGATGAGGTTTGCTCTAATCACGAGACCCAGTTAATTTGAATTCATAGATAAGTCTGAAAAGCGAGTCGGCAATGGTGATGACTGCTGAATATAATGCTGTTAAGTTTACTCATGCACCATCTGTAGAATATCTAAATTACTTGTCAACTTTAGATCACTCTGTGACACATTGTTTTGTTTTGTTGGTAATTCCTCTTGAACTAGCATAGACCATATTATTTGCATATCTATAAATGTCTATGTATTTTGTATTTGTAGGAAATGACGGAGGAAACTTTTTCGCATTCCAGTCCACCAGAAACCACACGTTTCCAACAAAATATTGCTTGTGAACGATATTCGTACATATTTTCTCTTATACAAGAATAACTTCGCGCTTGTTGATACTAAATAGGTCAAACCTTGGTCAGATTGAGCAACCCTATTCGCACTGAGCACACCACGGGTTCTTTGCGGTCCAACTTTGTGGTTTCTGGGTTTCTTTAGATGTGGCGTTGGTATTCACCAGTTATTAATGTTGAACGCGAACGATGAGTGTATCAACTTCACCGAAGACGAAGCCGAAAAACTTACAGTATTAGATAGGTAAAAACTTTTTACTGTTCGATAACCTTTCATTCCTCCATCTGCATCGATGGCCTTCATGCTGTTCCACCTTTTCTCTTGCATTTTTCTGTCACTGAGCGGATTTAAGAAAGATTGACAGTTAGGTTAAGACAGGCGTCACGCTCAATATCCCTTCCCTGTTCTACCAATTAAGGCCAGCTTAAGCGTTGCTTCTAAACGTCAGTGGACGGAGTCGCGTACCCTGTCCAGCGACGTTTCTTGCAGCCTACTTACCCAATTATGGACTATTATACGTAAAATAGGAAGCTATAACTCATTGTTCTTCATCAGTCAAATTTTGAGTTTCGAACCATATTATGGCTCACGAGGCAATGCTATCTTTTACTTCCAAAATACTTTAACAAAACTTGTTTTGCTCAAGTTTGGAGTTCGGCTTCCTTCGTTCGGAATCGAGCGATATCCG